TCCCAGACTGCGAGAGGGCACAGGCCGGGCTGAGGGACCCCCCTCCCCCCCAAGTGTACAAATTTTTGTGCACGGGGCCTCTAGTCTATATATATAAAAGCCTAAGCGACTGTTACGACCAAACGACCAGGATGATCGGAATGACTGGTCAACCAGTCACTATGACATGCACTGACCACCAGGGGGCAAATGCTCAATGTAGGTGCTGACCCCTGGTGATCAGTGCACTCCCACAGCCAACCTCCTGCAGCCGGCCAACCTCCCCTGGTGCCTCCCTGTGGCCAGCCAACTTCATGCAGTCCCTCCCCCCAGCTGGCCCCTCCCCCTGGCCGCCGGCCAACCTCCCACAGTCCCTCCCCCCGCCAGTCCCTCCCCCAGGCCAGCTGGCTAACCTTCCGCAGTCCCTCCCCCTGACCGGCCAACCTCCCATGGTCACTCCCCCTGTTCCTTCCCCGGCCAGGGGGCCCCAATCAGCCTGGCCCCAATCAGGACTGGACAAGACGGCCCCAATCAGCCCTAATCACTGGCCAGGCCTAGGGACCCCATCCATGCACGAATTCATGCACTGGGCCTCTAGTGTAAAATATGAATGTAAGCATGTGAGGAGTATAATGTATAATTATAAAAATTATTGTGCTAGCAGTAGTACATGACTTTCGAATTACTTTGCCCTAACATTGTTTTGCTACCTTTACGTAAAAATAAATTTTTTTTTAATTAAATCTTTATTGTTCAGATTATTACATTTGTTCCTCTTTTTTTTCCCCCCATAACTCCCCTCCTCCCAGCTCCCTCCCCACCCTCCGCCCTCACTCCCCACCCACTGTCCTCTTCCATAGGTGCACGATTTTTGTCCAGTCTCTTCCCGCATCTCCCACACCCCTTTCCCCCCCAAGAATAGTCAGTCCATTCCCTTTCTATGTTCCTGATTCTATTATGATCACCAGATTATTTATTCACTTGATTCTTAGATTCACTTGTTGATAGATGCATATTTGTTGTTCATAATTTGTATCTTTACCTTTTTTTTTCTTCTTCCTCTTCTTAAAGGATACCTTTCAGCATTTCATATAATACTGGTTTGGTGGTGATGAACTCCTTTAGCTTTTCCTTATCTGTGAAGCTCTTTATCTGACCTTCCGTTCTGAATGATAGCTTTGCTGGATAAAGTAATCTTGGTTGTAGGTTCTTGGTATTCATCACTTTGAATATTTCTTGCCATTCCCTTCTGGCCTGCAAAGTTTCTGTTGAGAAATCAGCTGACAGTCGTATGGGTATTCCCTTGTAGGTAACTGGGTTTCTTTCTCTTGCTGCTTTTAAGATTCTCTCTTTGTCTTTTGCTCTTGGCATTTTAATTATGATGTGTCTTGGTGTGGTCCTCTTTGGATTCCTTTTGTTTGGGGTTCTCTGCGCTTCCTGGACCTGTAGGTCTATTTCTTTCACCAGGTGGGGGAAGTTTTCTGTCATTATTTCTTTAAATAGGTTTTCAATATCTTGCTCTCTCTCATCCTCTGGCACCCCTATAATTCTGATGTTGGTGCGCTTGAAGCTGTCCCAGAGGCTCCTTACACTATCTTCATATTTTCGGATTCTTTTTTCATTTTGCTTTTCCAGTTGGGTGTTTTTTGCTTCTTCGAATTTCGAATCTTTGACTTGATTCTTGCACTCCTCTGGTCTGCTGTTGGGTGTCTGTATAATATTCTTTATTTCAGTCAGTGTATGCTTAATTTCTAGTTGGTTCTTTATCACAACATCAAGGGTCTCATTAGATTTCTTGAGGATCTCACTACATTTATCGGCGGTCTCACCAGTCTTTTCGAGGGCCTTACTAAGTTTATCGGCAGCTTCTAGACAGTTCTTAAGAGACCTTAAAAGTGTGGTTCTGAACTCAATATCCTCCATTGACAGTTTTGTCCTGTTTCTTTGTCTCCGCATTTTTTATGTTTTCTTGGTGCACCCCCTAGTGGTCTTTGTCCGCAGTCTTGTTGCCTTTAAGCCTTGATTGATGTCGGCAATACCGGGGTGATTTGACCTCCAGGCTAACTGGCTATGAGAGTCGGCTGTGTCTGTAGTGGGAGGGCTTCTGTGCTGGATCTCTAGGGCGGTGCTAATCTAGTGTTTGCCTGAGGCTATCCGGCAAATGGTTTTGTGCAGGGCTTGGGCAGGGCGGGTCCCTGGGGATCTACAGGGCGGGCGGAACAAGCAGTTATGGCGACTCTCAGTTCCTTCCCCAGGGGCTCTGCCTCTCAGAGCCCCAGCAATGGCTGCAAACCTCGGAGAGAAAGCTGCCTTCGAGTTCCGACCGAAGCCAGACAGTCCCGTTTCTCCCGTTTGAGTCTCGGTCCCCAGAGACTCGCCCGGATCTGGAGCTCAGAGTCTGAAACTCCCTCCCGATTGAAAACAACAACCGCGCCCTCCGCCGCCAGCCCGCTCCGCGCGCACACTCCGCACCTGAGTATTTCACTTCAGCACTGCGCCTCCTCTGAGTCTGGGTATGATATTCTCTTTCCTCCTAGTTGTAGAATTTCCACTCAGCCAGCCTTCCCGTGGTTCTGGGTGATGTCCGTTCTGTCCTTTAGTTATATCTCTGAAGTGGTTGTTTGAGGCAGCGATCTCCGGCGTTAACCTATGCCGCCATCTTGGTTTCTCCAAAAATAAATTTTAAAAATTTTGTCATTAAGTAATCATCATAACTTTATACTTAAATTGGGGGGGAAATCGTCATTCAAAAAGTCAAAGGAGTTTAACTTTCTTTTATTACCTGAAATTCAACCTTGTTGCACAGCTAAAAATCTTCAGTTGATCTTGTGAAGGACAAAGAAGCAGAAGGGCTCCCCTAGGATGGCAAGCAGTTTCCTAAAGATTAAACTCAATCACTTAAAAATTGCAAATAGGAAGCCAGGATGGATTTTGAAGCACAGATCTACCTAATGCCCTTTTGCAGCACAGACTCAAGTTTCAAGGGCCATGTTCAAGACAGGCACAGCTTTTTCTTGGCATTATATTGCACTGCCAATATTTACATTCTATCAGTTTATGCTTTTTAATGCACTTCTATTAATAGAACCTGCATAGTTTGCTCTTATATGTCAATATGTTTTTAGTTCAAAATATACTCAAAGTATTTTAAAAGTCAGTTCCTGGTCTTGATTTGTGAAATAAATATACTACATTTTTAATCATTAAAATAACACCTTGAAAATTTTGTTGTTAAAAAATAGATTCATAGGATCGTGCATGCTATGAGATCTTAAAGACAAAGAACGCTGTACATATATGGTAATTACCTATTCAAAATTTTAATTATTTGTTACATTATTTCTCAAAAGGTTATCATTAGTCAGGTGATGATGTATGTTTGTTTTCCCCCTCCCTACCCTCTTCCAACTATCTCAGTATGCAATCAACACGTGCCTCCCACTTGAGCCAACACTGAGGTGTGGATATGACCCCCATTAGATGAAGTGGACTAAAGACTGAATGTCTTCATCTGTGTTCTTAGCACCACGGAAGCCATCCTCTGGATTCTTATGCAAACCTCAGAAGAGGAGAAAACCCCTATACTAGATGAGGTTGAATTTCCTGCCTTCAACCCATCAAACCATCCAGGATGAGGAGGGCTCAGTCAGAACTAAGACCACATAAAAAAATTTTTTAATGTGATTTTCTTACCCAGTCAAATTTATGGGGTAAGGTTCATACTAGCTACCTTCTTTTCATAACAAAGTCTAAGCAATATAAATAGTACTACTTAGAGAAGACAAAGATGTAATAAGTCATTCTTCAGAAACACAAATGTGTGTTTGATTTACAAGATTTCTATGCCAAGCAGAGAAGTATGTGAAAACAGCAAGGTAAAATGTGCAAGCTGCAATAAAAGTTTTGTGGTTTAGCTGGAGAATGCCATATCAACAGGGAATCATGATTTTAGTTTTTCAATTGCCCCCAAGGTCATTTTCACTATTGATGAGGCCTAAGATGTCTGTAAAGAGGAGTCATTGCAATTAATGTATTTGTCTGGCAAACTTTTTGTCAGCAAATTCCTCAGTACCTTGAAAATGTCACTAATTACTCTTTGCTTAAGACACTAGAAAAGTGGTTCCCAACATGGGGCACATGAGAGAGTACTGTGAAGTATCATATAATTTAATATGAAGAAGAATAAATTCAATCTGATTGTACAAATGTAGGTACTCTTTCTAGAATATTTTTTGAGAAATTGAATGAAACTGTACTGATTGGAAATGACTCACTCGCTCAAGAAAAATTTGAGCACCTACCAAGTGACAAAAGGTGGAGGTGAATGAAACACATAGGGTCCCTGCCTTCTTGGAGCTGAACAAAAGAACAAACACCTATACTGAATATTTACCATATATGGTGCATTATAACATTAGTCAATGTTTACTGAGTGGTTACTTTATTTTATTAGGTAGAAGAATGTTTTGTCCTTGATTTAAAATATACATTCTGAAGTACTTAGGGGTGAAGTGTCAAGATGTATACAGCTAACTTCCAAATGGTTCAGGCAAAAACAAACAAAAGGAGAGAGCAATTGTGCAGAAATGTTAGCAATTGGCAAAGGGTATATTGAAGCCATCCTGGCCAGTTAACTCAGGTGGTTGGAGTGTCATCCCGACATGCCAAGGCCGCAGGTTTGATCTCTGGAGAAGGCACATACAAGAAGCAAACAATGAATGCATAAATAAGTGGAACAATAAATGGGTCTCTCTCTCTTTCCCTTTCTCCCTTACTCTCTCTCTAAAATCAATCAATCAATCAATCAATAAAATTGCTTTAAAAAAGAGTATATCTAAGAACAAAATGAATGGACTAACAAAATAAGACTGGAAGCATGGAGGTATGGAACAGACTGACATACCTCCATGTGGGGGTCGGGGACGAAAAGAGATAAACCAAAGAACTTATATACTTACTAGAGGTCTGTTGCATGAAATAATGCAAGAGTAGGTCTTCTGCCCTAACTGGTTTGACTCTGGATAGAGCTTCGGCTCAGTGGATAGAGCATTGACCTGCGGACTGAAAGGTCCCAGGTTTGATTCCAGTCAAGGGCATGTACCTTGGTTGCATGCACATCCCCAGTGGGGGGTGTGCAGGAGGCAGCTGATCAATGTTTCTCTCTCATCAATGTTTCTAACTCTCTATCCCTCTCCCTTCCTCTCTGTAAAAAAATCAATAAAATATATTATTTAAAAAAATAATAGGCCTTCCTTCCCCTGGCTGCCGGCACCGGCTTCCCTCTGGCATCCAGGACCTAGGCTTTCCTCACAGCCCCAGCTTCATCTGGAAGGATGTCTGGTCTAATTAGCATATTTCATTTTTATTATTATAGATATTCATAGCCCATGAACATGGACAATAGGGTGGTGAAGATGGGGGGGGGGGGGCCAGGGCTGGGTGGAGGGAGGTAAAGGAGACATCTGTAATACTGTCAACAAAATAAAAAAGAGTGTATGGATGCCTATTGTACTATTTTACAGCTTTTCTGTAGTTGTGAAATTTTTCAAATTAAAACTTCGGTGGGATGGGGAGGGCAATGATGTTTGATCTTCTCAGCTGTTGGGGCTGAGGGAGAGAAAATGGTGCTCCCCATCGGACAGGTCAGGTTTGAGTGTTTTGAGGATGGCTGCTTACTTACTGGATCTGAGTTCCTGAGCAGCTGTTCTCTCCCAAGCCTTTTCTCCAGCTTCTCACCAATTCTGTGAGCTCCTGATGGGTCCTAGTAAAATCCCCTTTTCTTAAGTTGGCTGCAGTGAATTTCTGTCACCTAACCCAAAAACCCTCAAAACAAACTTAGAGTGTATACAATCTGCACCACACAAGGATTTATTTCAAGTAGTTTTAAAGAAGTCAAATGGACACATTTTGAAATATTTTAGGATAGCATGGTGCTTATATCTACTTAATTGTGTCAAAAAACGAACCCCAGGGCACTTTTCAACAAGTGTCCTCTCTTTGTATATGAACTGAGCATTGGGCTAATCCTTTGCCCGAAACTGCTCTTCCTTTTTAATTGTGTGCCTTACAGCCAATCCCTTCAAGTACATTATACGAATAAAGCACCCGGGGATTGCATTGCCAGGAAAGCATGGTGAGAACCCGAACCCCTGGCGCACACTTTGAATAAACTTGCCACGGCACTGACAACAACAATGAGGGTCACTATTCACTTTGCAAAAGAGAAGTGCTCTTTTGCACAGGAAAAGGAGGCGATGGGAAGAAGGACAGCGCGCCAGGGTGGGACTGGTCAGGTTAAGTTATTGAAGGAGAAGAAAAGTACCATTTCGATGACGACTGTGCGCAGTGAACATCTGACATCTCGTTTTCAATCCTCACAAGAACCCCGCGTGAAGGCGTTATCTCCCTTCCACGGATGAGAAACGTGCGGTGGCAGGGGCCGCGCCTACCTTTGTTCAGAAGGCGAAGTTGTCTCCGCGGGGACAGGTGTGAAGAGGCCTTTCAGGGATGTCACCAGGATTAGAGCAGAATGTGGATACCTACGACAACACTTGGACTGCTCCCCTCGGGGCCAGAATACACTACTTTTACCCACATTGCTCTTTGAAGTACTTTTATGCTTTTTAGGGCAGGTAAGCCTTTCCTCTTTCATAGGGAAACATACAACGTAAAAGAACAAATAGCCATTATGAAAAACAATTGTAAAAACTGTAGGGGTTTTACACTACAGTTCAAACAAAGTGAGTACAGTGAGAGAGAGAGACAGAGACCCTCCCACCCCCCACACCCCCAGCCTCCCACCCCCCGAGGCGTAGGGCAGAGCCTGCGCGTCTGTATTCCAAGTGCAGGCTCTCTCGCAGGAAATGCCAGGAAATGACTTCACGTGTTTTCTAAGCTCTCAGTATAAGTCAAATTTCCCAGTAGGACAACCAGGCGCCTCGGTCACGCCCACAAATGCCAGTCAGGCCAAGTAGCCGCCCCGCAGCCCGCTCAACCCTGTCAGGCCCCGTCCCTGCCCGACTAGCCCCGCCCCTGTCCGGCTAGCCCCGCCTCCCACACGGACACACCTTCGCGCCTGCGCAGATCGGGTCTGAGCCTACAGTGTAGGCGGAAGTTGCCCCTGCGCTCGCAGTCGTTTCTGCCCCGCCCCCCGCCCGTTCTAAGGCGACACAGCCGGAACATGCTTCCGGGTCGAAGGGTTTGCTTCCGGAGAGCGGGAAGGCTGAAACGCGGTAGCTGAGCTGAAATCCAATTAACAAGGTTCTGGGTGGAGAAGGCTGTATCCATGGACAGGTCAGTTCTGGTAGTGTCTGCTGAGCGCGGAGACTCGTTGCTTGTTGGCAGAACGAGACCACGCAGGGCCCGGGCCGACCCTAGGACTCTTTCCCGGGCCGGGGACGGCAGCTGATGGAGGAAGGACCGCTTGGGTGGGAGAGGGATGCGGGGAAAGCGAATCCCGCGGCGGCTCTGCGGTCTGTTCTGCGCCTTTGCCGAGCACTTTTCGGCTCCTGGGGTGGGCGGGGTAGAAGGTGGCCCTGCATGCGAGATGCCCAGTGATCGGCCCGAGATCACCAAGCCAGTGAATAGCAGAACTAGGACTCTCATCTCAGACTTACAGATTACACATTACAGCATCCGATAGTGATGGACTTGAGTTTTCCTCGCACCCTGACACTAAGCTAGCCGCTGTGGCAAAGGTGTTGTTCAAGGTTTTGGCCTTCGGGGAATTAGGTCTGTCGTGGAGGAGACAACCAAGCAGTACAAGCAGCTTTGTACTGCTCTGTGGGAAAAGAAGTGAAGCAGTTAAGTCTCCCTTTCCCGGGAGGAATCGTGAAGACCTCTCAATGGAGGAAACCTAGAGGGTCTTTGAATAATAATAGTAGCCAAAGATTGAGTGCCTTAAACACTTCAAATATATTCTTAGCTCATGTAATTTTCATAACAGCCCTGTGAGGATGGATGCTATGATCCTCTTCTCATAGATAACACTGGACTAAAAGGTTAAGAACCTGGTCAAAGTTAGGAAGCTATTTATTAATAGAAGAACCAAGTTGCCACCTGGATCTGGGAGTCTCCAGACTCCTGGAGCCTGTTTGGTGAGTAAGTGTTCGCCAGGCAGACCAAGGGGGCAAACGTCCGCCTCTGTAAAAGAAGCGTGTACAAAGGTGTGTGGATATGAAAGTGCATGCTTATGTAGCGAAGTGCTCACATGTTTATGTTTGTGTGGGGGTGATGTTTGTGACTGACTGTAAGGCTGAAGTTGGTCAGCTGGAGTCAGATTGTAAAAACCATGGGAGGAAACTTGGACTTGATTCTGTAAGTCAGCAGTAGTTATCTGAAGGTTTTAAGTGGAGGAAAAGCTCATTCCAAGTGTTGGAATAATTGCAAAGGAGAAAATGTACTGCGTGCTAGAAAGCCAAGAAGTCTTTGTGCAGGTAAAATTTAAGCAGGACTTTGAGGGATAGCAGGATTTAGAACTGGAAGGGCATTGTCAACAAAAAGAGCAAAGATGAGCCCTGGCCAAGATTGCGTACTGGTTGCAGGGGTGGGCAAACTTTTTGACTCGAGGGCCACAATGGGTTCTTAAACTGGACCGGAGGGCCGGAACAAAAGCATGGATGGAGTGTTTGTGTGAACTAATATAAATTCAAAGTAAACATCATTACATAAAAGGGTACGGTCTTTTTTTCAATAGTTTTATTCATTTCAAACGGGCCGGATTCGGCCCGCGGGCCGTAGTTTGCCCTTAGAGCATGGGCCTGTGCTCCAAAGGGTTCAGTTCTCTTGGTTGCAGATTCAATCCCTGGCCCGGGTTGAGGCATGTGGGGGAGGCAACCAATCAGTGTGTCTTTCACACATTATTGTTTCTCCCTTCCCGCTCCCTTCCTCCCTTCCACTCTCTAAAAACAGTGGGGGAAAAATATATCCTCAGGTGAGAATTAACAACAACAAAAAGCAAAGACATTACTGTGATGATCTATACCTTGACTAACTCAGGATCCTTTGCTCCAATCATGATGATAAAGTTCTGTGCAAATGCTACATTCTCATTTCATTCACATGAGCTTGATTGTGCTGTTTTAGGAGTGGCTTTGGAGAGATGCCATCCCCTGTGATCCGGGAGGCGGAGGTGACACGGACTGCGCGGAAACAGAGTGCTCAGAAAAGAGTTTTAAGTATCCTTTGCATTTTAAGTATCATTATAAAAATTGCAGCATGTTTGGGATCAGGATTATAGAATTTCCTTTCTTTGAGAGGCATTAAACACTAGCTGTAATAAAAAAATGCTGCAGAAACTATTTTTTGATTTCTCAGATATGCTATTTGGTAAGTATGCAATTTGAAATGTGACTAAGAACTCTTAGTTCAGTGTGCAGTAATCTAAGACTGAAATCTGAGAACTTAAATGGTAGAGAAAATTATTTATTCTTTGCGTAGAAAACATGATAGACATAAAATCCCTTGTCCTTGAAAAATGTATTCATATATTTTGTATAGTGTAAACATGGTTAATTCTAACTTTAATGGTGTATTTTGTACATGGAAAATATTTCTTAACTTCCTGCAGTTCGGGCATCCCAAGATGAAATTTTTGCCAATACCACTCCAAGAAACCAGGTTACCCCTCGAACTCCCAGCTCATTTCGACCGCCTTGTAAGATTTTCTGCTTATAAAGCATTTAATAGTGGTAGTAGTAGTAGCTAACACTGATGATACACTTAAATTATATTGGTTGAAATATCAATAACTAAGAACAAATAATAACGATTGCAGTTGCTATTTATAACTCTGTTTTACATAAATACACAATAACTGTGATATAGGTATTATCTCTATTTTGCCACAACTGAAAGTGAGACTTGGAGAAGTTAATTAATGCTGATAACATAGCCAAGTAAGTATGTAAGTATTGGAACCAAAATTCAAATAATGATCTGCTTACTCCAAAGGCCATGCCCTCTACACTGTACTGCCTCTTCAGTGTGCTATTTTATAAAATTAGAATATGAAGAATCCATTGACTCATTCGTGTTCTTTTTTACTGCTCAGTTATGCTATAATGAAAGTATCTCTGTTTGCAGTAAAATTTTTCTTGATGGGCTCAATATTACCAAAATAAGTTAAATTCTTCATATGGAAATGAATATGTAAAGTATTTATTTGCTTATAATTGAAAACTGAATATTATTTGTTCTTTACTGTTTGTTTGCTTGTTCTGTTTTCATGATCAGTGCTTATGCACTCTGGATTCTTTTTACTAACTTCTTGTTTGTAGTTACTCCACCAAACCGAAGCTTTCTCAGGCAGCCAGATGTTTCCTGCATTCTTGGAACGGGAGGGAGGTCTCCCCGGTTTACACAGTCTTCAGGGTTATTGGGAAATCTATCTATGGTATGTTGAAATATAAGACTGAAATTTTCTCCCTTTCATAAAAGTATGATATGATGCTCTCTAGGAATCCCTATGGTACAGTATTTAAAATAGCAGAAGAAATGTCTTATAAACTGTGATATAGAATGACTTGACTTAGTTTAAATACTACAGAAAAAGAAAGAATTGTATCTCGCTAGGAAGAAGGATAAAAACAGAAGAGTTTTGTTGGAAGAGTAGAGGACTTAGTAGGCACATTTCATTCCAAAAATGAGATAAAAACAATTCTTCTCTGTTTGACTCTGTGCTTACTGAAAAGGCACAAATTTTACACGCACTTGAAATTGTCTAAATTTGGTGTTTTCTGATGAGTGGTTTTGCTTGTGAAACCTGTCTTTATCTTAGAAGGTTAACTTGATCTTTGAAATGTTTATTATAGTCTTGTGGATTTATAGAGTGTAACAATGATCTCTAAGCATTTCCTCAGGTGAGGATTTAAAAAAAAACATGAGTGAATTGACTGCCTCTGGATTTAAGCAAAAGATGACTTTTATTATTTACTGGCTTCAAAGCTTCAATATTAATAGTAAAGTTGTTACTCTCTTAAAGGCAAGGGTAGAATAAGGTGTGTATTGATTATTATAAAATGTTTATGAATTACTGTGCAGTCAAATGTATTTTCTTGATTTGTTTTGCCAGTTGTAATATTGGCTATAAGAGGTGGCCTTGGATATGTAGGTTGCCTGAAGGAAGTAAAATTTTTACATTACTTTTACCATATATTTGCTTACCAAGACTTGATTGCGGAGCAAAGTATTTTTCTGAATGCAAAATGTCATTGCTGTGTAAGATTTCACTTGATCCTTGTACTAATGATGTTACGTACCCAGAGGGAGTGAACTATTAATCAGTCTCTAATAGTTGAAACTGAGTTCTCCTCAGCCCATAGTTAGTGTCTCATGAGTATATAGGGTTTCACCACCCATCTTTAACATTTTCCTTGGAAGACTGATTTAAAGGTATAGTTTTATTGTTGCTTATGCCTGGATTTTAAATAAAGGTGAATTTTTTAAAACTTTTTTATGGACCTGGCCAGTGTGGCGCAGTTGGTAGGAGCATCATCCTGTACACTGAAAGGTCTTGGGTTCAATCCCAACCCCGGTCCGGGTGAGTGCAGGAGGCAACCAGTAGATGTTTCTCTCTCACATTGGTGTTTCTCTTTCTGGAAAAATCAATGGAAATGTCCTGAGGCGAGGATTAAAAAACAACTTTATTATGGATATTTTAAAATATCTCCGAAAATAGAATAGTGGCATAAGCCCCCATGTGCTCATTCCTCAGTTTCAACAGTTAACAATATATGGCTGATCTTGTTTCATCTATA